AGAATTTCAAAATATTATACATTTTAAAACAAAACCTCTTCGATTCATTAGTATTCAGATCAGACTTTTCCGGATCACTGGATTGGGAGGCGGAGCACTAGCGAATGGCCACCCAGACTTTTCGCCATTAGATGTCTTTCTGTGGGGTCATTTGAAAAGCAGAATTTACTGTACTTCTGCATCACTCGAAGATTTACGGTAACGAATCACAAATGAATGTAGCAAAATCACTCCAGAAATGCTCCACAATGTTCGAGAACGTTTCCAGCAGAATCTCTATTATTACATGAAAGCTGGAGGTTTCTATTTTGAGCATATGCTAACATGAGAATAAAGTAAGTAACTTCAACTCTAAATTTAATATGATTCGTCCAAATTAGAAAAAATGTACACCATTGTTAAGAGATTTCCAAGATCTTTCAAACAATATGCCAAGGGTTGTTCGCCCCTCTGTTCCGGGGTTGAAGTGACGACGCTGTAAATGGGGAAAAAACTGTCCTCCTCCCAATAAAAATCGACCTGTCTGAGCGTTTTTTAGGATTTGCAAGATTAGTACCCAAAACCTCCATGTTTTCGATGGCCCACCCTTCATTGATACTTTAAAATCAGCTAGCAATGGATTGAAAGCACATTTTCATAGACAAGTCCCATATTTCATCAAATTGTAGCTGAAACTGATAAAATTGAAGTATTGAATTGACTACTTCGATCACCCAGAAGGCAGTTTCTTCCATACAAGTCAGTTTGGCAAAATCCAATTTGATAATATCATAGAATACAATTCCACTGAGTGAAATATACACGTTACAGAAACTTTAAAAGCAAATTACCAGAAACATTTTACATATTTGCCAAATGAAGTATTACTCACACACTACATTCGGTCCACCCTGAGTGAGCCATTTGATATTGAGATTTTGAAGAAATCGTCAAACACATCAACTTTAGTTTCCAGGGAGACACACTTCCACGTCAAAATCAACACCATGTCAGCCTCCGCCTTCTCTTAACAATCTATATGATAAGAATTTCAAATGAGAATAGTATTCGTGTGACACTTTATTTGAAAAGTTTTTTCAGTTACGTATCAACCCCTGTAAGAATTTCAACAATACAACGGAGAAGACTGTCAAAATAGTAAATTATTTTTTCCAGTTTTTATTGAATTGAAACTAAACAGAAAAAATCATTCTATCAAATGGTCCATCCGAGCACCATTAACGTGCATACAATGGTATAAACGAGCTTTTATTTCCTTCTTTAAATTCTGAAGAATATCAGGTGTTGGTAGTATACAGCACTTTCCTAATTAACTTGTACTCCGACTTCTGAGACTGAATGGAAGAAACTTTATTGGTTGCATTATTGGAGATGAGTGATAAAAGGTGACTTCGAGGTAATAAAAGTCAGAAATTTCTTTTATGGAATAGTATATTGTGATTTTTCTTGGAGAAGCCTCGTTATTTTGAATTATATACCTCAATCAATTATCTTCAAAAGTGAACTAACCTTTGATATTTTGTTCTCTTGGTGAAGTCCATACAACCCCTCCCTCGGAATATACAGCCGGTCGAATGATGTTTCTTCCAGAAAGCGCGTTCGTTTTCAAACCGTTATTGAGGTCGTTAAATATTTGCCTTTCTTCTGCGGGTTCGAGGTCATCTTCTGGGATTCTTCCTCTGAAAATCTGTTGTTCATCAACAGGATGACCACTGCCATATTCTGAAGGATTCTCATCCTCCCCCTCATCATAGTAGACTCTAGATTCTGGAAAATCATTGACATCTTGTATACCTAACCTTGATTCCCAAGCAGGAGTATTGAAGTTCACAGGAAATTTTTCTCTTGGAAAATCTTCTATGTTCAGTTCTTTCCTCAGCAAGTCCTGGGCTTCTTCGTGATATCTTGCATTATCGAACCTCTCTAGTAAATTTAGTAATTGAACGCTGTTTTCGGGTCTCAAGAGCTTTTGAACATCTTTTGGACTCAAGTGCATATCATTCAAAAACTTTATAATGGGGTACATTTCATTCATGTCCTCGTGAGATAGAGGGTTATCGTTGGAGGGTTCATCTCGAAAGTTCTCGTCTGGTCCTTCATTTCTGTATTCTTTCAAAAACTCTACTGCTTCTCTTTCGTCAGGATCGCTCAAGTCATTAAATGTTGGAGCTTGGAAGTGTGTAGGTGATCGACGGCGCATTTGGGGAATCCAAGCCCGTTTAACTACTGCAAAATTTGCGTAAGGATCTGGCATGTCCACTGCAATACAAAAACAAATTCAATTCTGATCCCCCAGAAGATCCCCTAGAAACATTAACAGTTTGTGTGAAGTTCCAGCTGATATAACCACAATATTATTATGATGTAAACTAATGCTACAATTGAAAATAGGGAAACTTCATACGAAACCCTCTCTATGGTTTTTCCATGCAAATTTGTAGAAGAATATGAACTAGTGAACTAGTAATTTCTCTAACTTTCCCAAATATCATATTTGATAATTTACTTACAGTCAATAGCATCAGGTGCTAAAATCTTCCGCCTCAATTCCTCTTGGTTTTGTCTGTTGATGGGAGGATAATAAACTTCATCAGCAAATGAAGCATGAGGGTCGTCAACACTTGGAGTATATTTGATAATAGCTACTTCTTGAGGGTCGAGTTCAACTTGCCCCTCAAGGGCTTTCAAAGCACCCTCTAAGTCATTGTCGGAGAGATGTGAACACGCATCGGGTTCGAAAGTCATGCTAGAACAAAATTCTCAATCAATCTAGAATTGTCGACTTATGAATGAAACATCAGAAACAAGAAAAACTCAAGTTCAAAAAAACTATCGCATAACAATTTTTTTTATATGCCTGCAGAAAATTATTTTTCCCACACACATTCTGAAATACTTTTTGCANATCAAGAAATGAAAAAATCAAGAGATTCCAATCCAAGTTACTTCACGACGTTTGGATGGTTAGTATACACTCTTCGAGTGATGACTGGGCTAATTTCTCTGAGAAATGACTATTTATGGGTCATTCAAGTAGGTACTTTCACTTAATCTCCGCTTTCCTTTTTCCGCTTCACCGGTTTAGTGGAAGTTGACTGTTTGGCGGCAGTTGGCCATTGATGGGTCCAAACATGCTCTACTATTTTCCTGATTTGCTGGTTCGCCCTCGCTGTGTCTGTTTCTTGTGCTCGGCAATGGGAACATTCAATGACCTCTTAGTTTCACCGAAATAGGATTTTCCGCAGTCACAGGGTATCCGGTAAATGCATTTCTTGTAATCGCAGTCCGCGGTCGGTGGCCTGGTTTTCGTGAGGCTACTACAGATAGTGTTTCCGGATCTGAAGCATGTTCTGATGTTGTACTTAGACCCAATTCTTATTGCCCTTTCCGATAATCCTCTGATATAGGGAAATGCAAGCAGTGCTTGCACTTCCAATGCTAACAATGGAACTCAATTGTTCTATTTCTACTTTTATTTTATTCCACTATTATTTCATTTCAGATTTTTTATTTTCAGCTATTCATTGTAATGTTTTTTTTGTTCAGAGTATAACGCGAACTATTTTATGAAATTCCTGTATACATGTCATATTCGATCACGATCAATTCATTTCGTACTGTCCTACTGATGCTCTATACTGATAGGTGCCACCAGCCAACAATGAATTCGAACTTAATATTTATCATTTATTATGTTGTCTATACCTAAAACATTCCAAGTTCTACCTGTCTCTATTAGATGGCACACGACTTCACTTTTCCGAATCCCAAACTCCATTTCTGTCCTATGAAAATATTTTTGAATATTGTGGATAGTTACCGAGGTGATGTGATATGATAAGCGGCTTTGCCTCTCTCTGCCTCAGCAAATTGCGTTTATGCATTATTTCTTAATTGGATTTGTTATGCTGTATGGCTATTGCTCTTTCATCAATTTGTAGATCATTTAATAGTAGGTTTTATACCTATTTGGAATAGAAACCTTCCTTTACTGGGAGTTTCTTCTGGAGAGTACCAACTCAGTCAGCTGAGAAAAGCTTCCGACTTCAGAATTTGTTATATAACAAGTTTGATCGACTTCAGTATCCGAATCACCTTCGTCAGCCGAATCCGAAGTATTGGTACTAATTGGCAGAATCATATTTCTACATTTCCTGAGAACTCCTCTACTCCATATTCATGTAACAGTAGAACATTTTTTTATAAGAGCACTGCTACAAGTTGTCGTCATCTCTTTAGGACATTACCAAGAACTCCAAGCACCATCATACATCGAGGGAAATTAAGGCCAGATTTTCGATATTTCCTGATTCATTATTTTTTTATTTGATTACCGATTATTAGATGATATTATTATTTTCTCCTCCGTAACTGATAATGAAAAATTGTATTCACTGATAAATTTATTACGTGCAATTCATTTAAAATAATTACTTTGAAGAATCATTCTTAATTTTTTTACAGCGTGTCATTAGAAGACTCACACTTGTTACGCTGAACATAGAACTATGAACAGGCGAGTTATATAATATAAATGTTGATCATATCTAACTTAGATTCTCCTAAACATTTGATTATTTGAATGTTCAAGTTATTAAATGATATTTTATTTTAATGTTGTTTTCGTTTTTCAACAGAGATAGTGGAATATTTTATGTAGTCACTGGATAGTTTTTTTTTACGTCATATAATATGAATTTTGTTTTCTGTGGTTGGCAAAATTCTGAAATACTACTGTTTTAAATCCGGTGGCGCCCGATTCAACCTCAAATTTTTTCAGTTTCCTCCTACTCACGACCCAAAGAAGCTTCCTGACTAAGAGCTCCGTACAAGTGTACCTTTTGATAAAAAAAAAGGTTACATCATTTGCAATTCTCGTTTTTTTTAGTTCTTTCAGGGATTTCCAATCATTTTATATAATATCAGACAATGGAAATCCGAACTGATGAAATTCATCATGAAACATTGTCAATCACCTTCAAACAAACAATAATATACACAGTTTTAAATACTTGGAAAGTTTTAACGTCTCCATCAAAATAGGTTGCCCGTTATGTAAGTCCACCATTTTTGGAATAATATAATGAAAAAGTATGGGGAAAAATTTTTCGGATTTCACTTCTTCAGTACCATACAAAAAAATTCTGGAAAACTTTCGACGAAAGAGAGCAATTAATTTCAAAATAAACTCTCCACAATAAGTTGTAGATCATGCATAGAAGTGACTTTCAGAAACAAACTGGAAGAAAAAGTACTCCCAAAACAACTACTGTCATATGAACATTGAATCATACGAAATTAAAAATACTCTCGAAACAACTAATGTCATATGAACATATACGAAATATACGAAAATCATTTATAGAAACGCCACAGTGTTTTGTATAAAAATGGAGGAGTGAAAATCAGAAAGTATTTTTCCAAAATCTATTATATCCTTGAAATATACCCGTTTCAATTGAGAGTATGGAGGAGTTCAAACTGTTTCTCTAAATAAGTCACTGAAATTTGACAGAGTATGGCATGAAGATTTACAAACTTAAGTTTGATGTGAGATCAGAACCCAAAATAAATCATTGGCCGCAAAACAGCTGTTTCGCGGCGACTGGTGAATGTTGGAATTAGTTGTCCTCAAAAGACAAGCTTCCGAATTCGGTTCGTTGCAAAGCCAATCGTTGACATCGCCCGCCGCTTTCTTTCTCTACAACTTCTATTGACAAGGAAACTAGTTGAAAGCAGACCCCAAAAAGGAAGTATTCTTGATCCATCAACACACAAGATACAGAGAACGAATATTGTTCGATGACTAATGTCGGAGCTAGGCTTTGACACGAATCCTTTTCGGAGCTCATTAATCTGATTTTCGTGAACATGATTTTCTGACAATCTCTTAGATGACGTCAGGTATGTCCTTTAAGAACAACCAAGTCTAACAATGCATTCGTGGTTTAACTAAGTACCACCGATTGCGGGTTGGCTTTCCTTGTTCATCTTTCACTGCCTGAACCGCTGTGCACGCTGTTTTTGGCGAGTGCATTGGCTTGGGATGTGGGGGTTCAGCAAACCGGCCATCGGATCCTGCTTCCACGTATCTCCGCTGGATACGGGAATGATAGAATCACTTGTGGTTCCGTTATTCCCTAACTGAATGGCATCCCAACGATCGTTTAATAATAAGGTGTGTATCCGTGCCGAGAGGATGAATGACATTGAGCCTATCAGCTGTCTCTACGGAACCTTCGAGTTATCAGGCGCCCTGTTGTCGTAGCATCGCCTTGTCACGGTAATGCAGGGCTCTGCCGTTATTGACCTTTTTTCTCTAGCTACTCGTGGGACTTTTATGGACAGAATAAACTCGAATAAATTTTCTGACGCTGAGTCTACATAGAAGATGGATGTCGAGCTTACCACTCCAACTGACCTCCCTGTAAATTTAGATCTGAAGCGAGAGCTTCTCAACTCTCCAACTCCTGATCCAATGACTGAACCTAAAAAAAAAGGTTTGATGGTGCAGCCAGGAAATGACTGAGTTGTCTCCTGAAGAGCGGGGTACCTTATGAAACCACCTTGCACCAAATTCTTGAGCGGCGTACGCAGAATCTCTCTCAAGTGGAGGAACAAATCCCCCATGAGCAGGTTAGCAAACGTTTGCGCTCAAGTGATGATTCACCAAAAACAGAAGCGAAAAAGCCCTTCACGGTTGAATCAAAGGCATCGTCAGGTGTAGCTGACGTGCAAAAACCCCCATATGGGAAGGTTTTGGCGGGTATCAAGGTGGGAATCTTGCACCTTGACTATCCAACTACCTCATTAATGATGAAACAGCAGAGCACATACTTTGTGCCTGCCCCGCTAGGGACCAAATCAGGTTTTTAGAGTTCGGCAGAGCCGTATTCTTACCATCTGACCTGAAAGAACACCCACTTTATAAACTAATCGGCTTCGTTGAGAAGCTAGATTTATTTGGTCGAGTGTGAATAGGTGTAGCCACAATAAACCCTTGCGGGTTTATTGTGGTCCAAAGTGAGTGGGTCGAATAGACCCACTCACTTTGGACCTAACCTGTACCTAACCATAGTACCACCGATGGTGGTAAAATAGCGCTATCTACTGTGGGATTGAAAATCATATATTTTTGTGCTCTGGTTTCATCTAGTTGCCCTGCCGTCAAAGCTGCAGAGAAAGACATAGGTCCAATCACCTATTACAGCAGTTGTCGTAGCTTGTTCTGATAGTCTTAAGGAGACTTGTTTATCTGAAATGTCTTTCCATATAAGTAACACCTTAGCGGGACGGTAGCCTGGTGACTTGGCGATGTTGGTTTGCTCCACTCACTCAATCGATCGCTGTGTGAACCGGTGGTTTGAATCGCAAAGCGGAACGATCCATTTTCACTTCTTATCGTCCAACCCGTGTTAGGAAAGGTTGAAAGATAAGACCTCGTTAGTCCTTAGCTAGCTCAAGTTTCGACTTTTGAGAGTTGTTCGTAGGGGGGCGACAGCTGGTGGATTTCTCCACAATTCTGCTATTCCCAATGGATTCATATATCCATGAAATATATGGCTTTATTCGTACTCTAACATGAGCTACCAATGCATTGAAAGCACATTTTCGTCGACAACAAGTTCAATATTTCATCAAATTGTAGCTGGAACTGATCAAATTGAATTATTGAATTGAGTACTTCGATAACCCAGAAGTCAGCTTCTTCCAAAAAAGTTGGTTTGGCAAAATCCAATTTGATAA